CGAGAAACGTTAAAAATGAAAGCATACAAAATATTCAAAAATATTAAAAACTAAATCTGAAAAAATATTTCAAAATATTAAAAATATCGAAAAACATTAAGAATTAAATATTAAAAGGTATTAAAAAATAATACAGCAATCCTAGGAAAAGTTTTCTCTTTTCCCATCGAATTTAAACAACTAAAATAGTGTTATCCATCGCAGTTGTCAAAGATGTAACAGTCCTCAGAGTCTTCAGACGTTTCAACCTCACTTTCTCGAAAGTAACGTGTAATTCATCTTCACAATCGAATTCCTGCATTGTTTGCCGAATCCCTACCGAACGGGAAAATTTCGTCGAACAATTTAACTACATCGCGGCAGACATTCCCCTCAAAGCCATTCATCAATTCTGGCTAAGAAGCGAATCTCTTTCTATTAATTAAGCAAATTAATGGCTCGCCATGGAGGGAAGCCAGTCAGTGTATAGTTCAGCGAAATTCGTTCTTGGTTAGAGAAATTTCGAATTACCACCGTGAACAGGTTGTCTTTCATGGAACAACAGTACACGTACAGATTAGGTTTCAAGGAAGTGACTCCCCGAACTAAATGAAAATTGAATTATTTCGGAGCTCGGTTAATTAACTATAGTATTCCTTTCTGAGAATCCGAGACGCCATTGTCTCGTTCATTGAAACTCCGTGCCTTTTTGTATTAATCTACTCTTCAATGCACAACTACACAATGAAATAATCGTATTAAATCAACGTTTTAATGTGGAATAAAGATTAATTGGATTTTTAATGAGATGTATGTTTAATTAAAAGATTGATTTGATCATTAGAGACGTGTGTGAATGCAGATAATTGTTTCCTTTTAATTTAAACGGTGTATTAGAATAAATGAAATTTTTTAATCGTGCTTTTTTTGTGAAAGATTTATTTTGTAATTCTGGAATTTATATAGAATTGTCGTTCTCCAAGGATTTGTTCGATTATTAACACTAGAACTACAGAGCAATTAATACGATTAATATGCAATTCCCATAAAAATTGTAACAATAGATTATTTCCAGTGTCTTCAGACATTCATTACAGTATGCAAATGAAGCTATTTATTTTCAAAATCACTTCGAATATTCAATGCTTCGAAGGTATCAATAATTGCTAAACAAGAAAATCGAAACCAGTCATTTTGACTGGTACGTAGTTCTAGTGTTAAGGAAGCTGAAGAAATGATCCTATTCATTGAAAAGTAGAAAACTCTTTAAAGAAGCCAACGAGGATACCGAGAATAAGCGATATTAAAACTGTCGTAAATTAATTAACGAGGGCAGTTAGCAGCTTTTTTATCTGCGTGGGCCTGAATGCGATCACCTGTTGCTTGAAGAAGTAAGTGGCGAACAATGAGGAACGCGGTTCGCTCGAAAATGCTACAATCATTAACCTTCAGAATTCCTGGTAACGATCAATTAACGATAATTCAGAAAATTACGAAAAATTTTGTGATCTCTCTCGAAGTTTCTGATATTAAAATATTCCTAACAAAATACGAACGATTTCTTAGGATAATACAAAAATCGAAAGGATTCTCAAGTTTCAATTGTGAATTATTTAATTACTAATTAATATCCTTAGTTACTGTTTTCTTTTGCAAGATTTGTATTGCTCGAGCTTCACAGAAGTGGCAAGCGTTCAGCTTAGGATTATCAAGTTCTAAGTCTCGAGTCTCGAGTAGACTAGGCTTTCTAAACTGTCCCGGACAATTGAATAATTATCCCGCGTTGTCAGATATCAGACATTCGAGAAGCCTCGGCGTTCAATAAACAATGTATCCGCCGTTTGTGCACGTGCTCCATTTTCCAGGGTTATTCAGAAACGAGATTCCCCGATTGTTTCACGCAGTACGAAGATGTTACCATTCAACCGCAAACTTAAACCTTGAAACAATGGCACTGCTCCATTAAAATCTTCCTGCCACGGTGAAATGAAATCAACGCGCGTGTCGGGCTCGCTGCGAGGATCAGTAATGATGATCTTCAGTTTTTCACATTTACAAGCTATTAGAAAACATATCATCCGCCATTAGATAAATATCTTTCCTTTGATAATCCAAATTTGTTATTTGTATTGCAATGGAAACATTCCTTCTAGACAGGTTTCAATTCTTTTACTAATTCTTCAATTCTTCAATTCCATATTTTAAACAAATTTAATATATTTTTTATATTTCAAGAAATTATGCAATGAATAATCTTCCAGTAATAGCATTGAAGGAAATAAAATTAAAAATAATCTAACCTTATAAGAAATTGATTGAGCAGTTGATAGGATTGATTCTAATATAGAATAATTAATTAGTTTTTTTTCACATTTACAAGCTATTAGAAAACATGTCTTCCACCATTAGATAAATATCTTCCCTCTGATAATCCAAGTTCGTTATTTGCATTGCAGTGGAAACAGTTCTAGACTTTTGCCAATTCTTCAAAGTTATATTTTAAACGAATTTAATATATTCCTGATATATCAAAAAATTATGCAATGAATAATCTTCCAGTAATTAACATCGAAGAAAATAAAATTAAAAATAATCTAACCTCATAAGAAAATAATTAAGCAGTTGATACGATTGATTCAAATATAGAATAATTAGAAATTCAACCTCCTAACATTACCGGATAAACATTTAAACTAACAGTTCAGTAATTTCTACTTTTTGTGTATTTAATTGTCTTTGCGTTAAGCAAAAAGTCTCGATTTTTATGAATAACGTCGAGAGTTCGAGACGTGCATTTATTTTTCAAGTGAATTTCTGAAATTTAACACATTGCGTACCGGCTAATATTCAGGAAACTGAATTGTGTTGGCAATTTTCACTGAGGTCAACTTATATCACTATACATAGAAAACTCAGATATCATATTGTTATGTAATATATTTTAACACTAAACTACCGAGCAATTCAATTGACCTTTTAAAATTTCGTTATAGAAATTCCAAGAGTGCATCTGTTCAGACTTTAATTGATTTATAGTTCAATTTGCGTAGTGCTAAATGAATCTTTAATAATTTCTCAGAGAAACATTTGTTACCTTTCTAATAATTGCAAAAAGAAGACATCATGGTTCATTTGACAGGTCTGGTAGTTTTAGTGTTTAATAGATAATCAATTCGAATGAAATTTTATATTTCTTCAATGCTGTGGTAATTAGCAAAGTTGCATGTGTCTTTATATAAAAACGAGATTTCTCGTTACCGGTACGCAACGCGTTAAGAAATTAGTTTCTAAGATCTAAATGAACGGATCACAATTTTTCGAAGAACAAAGAACAAACTGTACAATTTTTTGAGAAACGAATTGTGTGGATTGCAATTTTCAGTGAGGTCAACTTCTATCACTATGCATAGAAAAACTCAGATATAATATTGTTATGTAATATATTTTAAATAGATAATTAATTCGAATTAAATTTTAGTGTTTTTATAAAAACGAGATTTCTCGTTACCGGTGTTAATATACCATTTTACTCCGTACCAAAGTTAATTCGAAATCTTTCTAACGCTGTCGCAGCTGCTAACAGCTGGAACATCCGTTTCACCAAACAATTCTGCTTATCCTCCAAAACATCACGCGAACAGTATTTCTAATCAACACTGCTCTATCCCCAACACACCCTGCAACGGAAACAATACTAATTTCACGATCCACACGCAAGAAACCAAAACCCTCGAATTCCCATATGTTCGTCGCCCGCACAACCTACAACAATCCAATTCCCAACCACGTCCCCTTACAAAACAGACTAACCACATATTCCGCACAATCTGCCGACAACTCAACAAACGATCCACCCCATAAACCCCAAAACAAAATCAACGATTTCGAACCCTTAACACTAGATTTATGTTCATTCTACAGTTTATTCTATTATTCCCAGAAACGTTTAAAAATTAGAAACCATGGTCACATAAATCAATGAAAATGAACTCAAACATTTACCAAATGTTTATAAAATCCAATACGCCTCAAATCGACTCGTTCCGTAAATCTCCCATTAAACCCCCAAAAACTCAAGGAACCCCGTTTACCATTAACCCTTCGCACTCCAAAAATTTGTCACTAGAAATATTCAATTTATTTTTACGAGATATAGATGACATTTTTTTAAACTAACTGAACGAGGAACCTATTTACAAAATAACAGGAACAATGGTATTTTGTTACTCAATAATTAACACATTGCGCACCGGCTAATTTTCCGAGAACCGAATCGTGCGGATGGCAATTTTTACTGAGGTCAGCTTACATCACAATACATAGAAAAACTCAACTATCGTATTGTTATATAATACATTCCAAATATACAATCAATTCGAATCAAATTTCATATTTTCTTCAACAATCTGGTAATTAGCGAAGTTCCACAGCTAAGTGTCTATAAAACCGAGATTTCTCATTACCGGTACGCAATGTGAAGAAATTACTTTCCAAGATCTAAACGAACGAATCACAATTTCTCGAAGAATAGAACAAACTGTAAATATCAGTGAATCTAGCATTAAAACTAAAAATATTCTTCATCTGTTCATAACGAACACGGTAGTACGAAATGAATCTACATCCCTCATTTCCCTATGAATGTGCACATTGTAATAGAAACTTTGAAAGAAACTACCGAGATACTCAAATTTTACAATTTCGATGCACCAATGAATGACTAAGCGTCACCCTCGGAGTGCAAAGGGTTTAAACTACCAGCTGCAAACCCTATGCATCACAGCGCATACAACAGGTGTCCTACAGTTAGCCACTGTTAATCACTGTTCACCAAACAAAAAGAACCACCTAGCCACTGTAACCTCCTAAAAACCCCATGTACGAGTCTAAGATGTACCGGGTGGTACTTAACCGATCGTGGAACCAAAGGAGCTCGTTTCACCGAACAGTCATCCGAGTGTCATCAATCCGGTGTAAAAATGCGGTCGTCGGGTGGATTTTCGCGAAATGGAGCGGCTCACCTGTTGCTGGAAAACCGACGGGCCGCGTTTCGTTGCACCCGGTGGACTCGGTACGCCGGTGGTTGTTGCTCGGCTCGCTGCTGATCCTCTCACGTGACTCGCAGCTGAAGGAGCGTTAGGGTTGACTGGTCGACGCCGGGCGCCGCGACTTTGCTGTCTACGCGGGAATGGCGATCGGGGCATCGCGACGCCACCCTTTATACGTGTGTGACCCGACGCTGTTTGCGGACGGTCCCCCTGTGTGCGTGCGTACCACGCAATCCCCCCGCCCGTCCCGGCCGTTCCCGGCCGTTCCCGTCGCTCTCCGGAGCACGGGGCGAAGCGAGCGAGCAAGCGACGCGAGTCTTCGGCAACCCTTTTGCGCATACGCGCGATCATCCGCGATGGGCATTCAATTCTCTTGGACGCGACGCACCGGTGCCGCGCTTCGGAACGCGGACCGAGCCTTGACATTTCGCTGCCGCTGACTTTCTTCGGTTTGACACGTTGCGCACTGGCAGACATCTCGTTTTTATGTAAAAAGCTGTGTAATTTTGGTAATTATAGAGTTTAACCCCTTGCCGTATTATTTACTTTTGCTGCTAAGCTCGCGCGAAATGTTTCTATCGGCAGTTTAGAAAAAACGCAAAGAAATTGTCCACTGCACTTTATGTACAAATTTTCTTTCAAGATAATATATTGATAGTAACGGAATAGCTTTTTGCTTTGATCCATGCGCATTGAACAATATTCATGTTTATTGAACTAATCCCGAAATCGTCATCACGAGTCTCACTCGTCATTGTACGGCAAGGGGTTAAAAAAATAGTTGTGTTGAACGGATTATGTATTTAAAATATGTTACACAACAATATGATAGTTGAGGTTTTCTGTAGATAGCGATATAAGTTAATCTCACTGAAAATTGCCAGCCGTGCGATTCAATTTTCTAAAAATTAGCCGGTACGCAATGTGTTGAGTCGTGAGTAATCTGTCGATACGTGAAATGTGGAAATAAAATACCATTGTTCTTCTTATTTTGTGAATAGATTCCTCGTTCAGTTAGTTTATAAAAATGTCATCTATATCTCATAAAAATAAATTGAATATTTCTAGTGACAAATTTTTTGAGTGCAAAGAGTTAATGGTAAACGGGGTTCCTTGAGTTGTTGGGGTTTAATGGGAGATTTCTAATATCATATTGTTATGTAATATATTTTAAATAGATTATCAATTCGAGTGAAATTTTATATTTTCTTAGCTATGAAGTTGCATAGCTAAGTGTCTTTATAAGCAATGTGTTAACACTCTGTAGGCTCGTGTAACTTTGAAGTTACGTATCAGTGTATCAAGTTGTTGATTTATTTTATTTCGCAATCAAAGTGGTGGATACTATTGTAGGAGGAAAAGAATTTTATTTGAAACGGTATAATTATTTCGTGACAACTCACAATAAAATGATCAATCAAATCAAACAACGCGTACGCTATTTGTACACTATATATATTCTAGAACACTCTTTCATTACCATGCATTAACTTCAAAGGGGAACGGAGTTGCGCGAGATTCGTAAATTATGATATATAATGTGGAGTTAACCCTTTGCACTCGAGAGGTGACTCTCACTCACCATTTGATTTCATACAGTAAAACTATAAAATTTGATATTTAATATTATACTTCGTACAATGCATCAATTTGAGAAATATTGAAATAAAATAGCTTTGGTCCTCAATGTACGTGCGATTTCTCTTCAGGTTAGTTTCACAAAATATCGTCTTTATCTCATCAAAAAATATTAAAATATTTCTAACGAAAAACTTCCGAGTGCAAAGGGTTAATAATTGAAGTTTTAATTTAGTTATACAGGACTCTGATGTATTAGGAGTATGGAAATTACGATGGACATTTACGGGAATAACAAAATACACGATGTTAAGTTCTGGGGTGGAAAGAGGTTTCGCTAATTTTTGGTTGTTTAGTGATTGCATTGTGATGTTTCAATGAGTATATCTTAATTGATCGAGTTTCATTTACTAAAACTTGAGAGTATGAATTTTAGTGATTCCTTGAAATTTTGGAATTTTTATAGAGAATTCTATTCTGCTTTCTTTACCCCTAGATTGAAAACAGTTTTATAATAATATTCCTTAACGAATTTTTTATTATTCCTTATCCATTAAATTCTTGTTTACCATTTCATTATTGTAATAGTCCTCGACTTGCAATTTGGAACGTCTTCGCAATCCTTTCGTACTCACGCCTTTCTCATCAAGGAATTCTTCAGCTTGTACACTGTTCCATCTTTCAATCTGTTAACTATGGAATTTCATTTCGAAAATCTCTGATAACGCTCGCAATGAAATGAAATAATGAAGTGTATACTCGTCTAACACAGTTCAAATGCACCTGTAATATATTCTAACGAAAAACTAAAGCAAAATGAAGAATTACACGTTTATCTGAAAGAATAAATAGTTTATTTGAAAGAATTAGTATTTTTTTGATTTTAAACTGTATTGACCTTTTAAATAAAATATTAAGTTATATTCAAGTTTTTCTTAATTTTATATATTTTGATATCGTTTCTTGATGTTTTCGGTGCTTTGTAACGTATACAGCTATTCTTGACCATGTGTCCATTAAAAATATTTTGTTACAAAACTTAACGTGTACCACTTTGCACTCGAGGATTGTTTCGCTAGATATATTCCTGATTTTCTAATGAAATATCAATGATATGTTCTATAATTAATATTAACCTTTTGGATGCTAAACAACTTTCGTGGATATTTACCAAAAATGCGGAAGCGATTGGATGTGTATGCAAAAAAATTAATTCTTTTTTCAGTCAGGGTTCTGACCGATGATATACCTTCTAATAACGGAGAATAATGAAAGTTTTACACATAGCTACGCATATTTCTAAAATATTCGCTTTATCTCTACTTAGAGAATTTTCCTCGAATCATTTCCAAAGTAAATTGAAGAATTCACAGTGATTACACGATCTAGACACCGAATTTCAATGTACGAAGTACGAAATGGAGTAAGTTGGTCGGAACGATCGACCTGTTGCCTGCGCCGACGAAAACGAAAAACCGGGAAATGAAGGAACGGCGATATCCGTGCAAAAAGCGGGTCACGCGTGGGTGTGTTGCCGCGAAAAAAGAATATGGTAGAACGGGGAAAGTGGACGGTACACGAAAATGCATATGCTCGTGTCTGCTGGTCCTTGAAAAAGACAGAGCACTTCCCCATGGTAATGGAAGAGCTTCGAATGTACCTGGAAAATGGGAATCCTTAACTCTTTGGATGCTAAACAACTTTTGTGGATATTTACCAAAAATGAAGTGATTAGGTGTGTATGCAAAGAAATTAACCCTTTGCACTCGAAAGGTTTTGCACTCGAAATATTCAATATTCTTCGATGAGATACAAACGATGTTCTTTGAACCTAATTAACGAGGAAACATATATAAATTAAGAAGGAAAATTATTTTATTTCAATAGTCCATATATTGATGCATTATACAAAGCTTAATATTACATATATAAGACTTTATAATTGTGCAAATCAAATCAAGTGGTGACTGAGAATCACGTCTCGAGTGCAAAGGGTTAATAAGAGTAGTTATCTAATGAGATCACAAATATTGTGTTATTACAGAAAAATATCAAAAGATAACATTTATTCAAATAAATTTACTTTGATTTATTTCTTGAAGAACATAGTGGGAAAATTATAATTAGCACAACACAATAAAATATTTAATATTATTCTCGGTTCAATATTAGAGCCTACAGAGTTCAAAGGGTTAAACCCCCATTTTCCTCGAACCTTTTTGTCCGCATAACCGTAGTGGAAAACCTTGTACGTTCTCAAAGCTCGAAAGCTTGCAGAACTGTTCTCTTTCATTCTTCGTGCCGACCTACGTTCGCAAAAAGAACGCGTTCAATGGGAACTCCCGGAATTCTATGGTAATACGCGGAACATGTGAACCATCATCCATCATTCCATAAAATAATCGAATGCATGCATTTGTATCAATTTGTAAGAAAGACCATCATAATAAAGATTTTCTTTTCTGAACTTCGCATTGGCATCTGACTCGGTTAATTGTTAAGACCTAATTAAGACTACTTTGAAGAATATGTAGCCAAGTTTCTGAATTCATTTCCAGCGCAACTGGTTAATGCTTTAACCGTTTGAGTGCTGAGGAGCGCTGTAACGATCTTCTTGCGTTGTACCAAAATTGCGAAGAGTGCAATCTATCAATTATAATTTTCTTACTATGTTCTTCAAAAAATAAATCAAAGGAAATTTATTTGAATAAATGTTATTTTTTGATACCTTTTTGTAATAACACAACATTTGTGATGTCATTAGGTACTCTTATTAATTTTTTGCACACCTAATCACTTCCGCATTTTTGGTAAATATCCACAAAAGTTGCTTAGCATCCAAACGGTTGATAACGTCATTTTGCAATAAAAATTGAAATAAATCGATTGAACCCCGTATATTGATGTGTGACTTCAAAGTCGCACGAACCTATGAGGGTTAACGCAACGATCGATTGCATCGTCGATGTCGCTCGATTGGCAGCCACGAATCACCACCATAGCGAGAAAAAAAAGAAATTGTTCGAATTTCCGTTCCGCGTGTGTGATACGTATAATTTTCCCGATCGTAAACGGAAGACCGGAGAAAGACCAGCAATTCCGCAACGTTGCTCTGTGCGTGCATTCGTGGATGCACATCCACGTCTCCGCTTCCGGTGAATGCAAAGCGCTGGCAGCTGCATAAGCACAGGAACGGTGATCGCACGGATTTCACCTCCTCCCACGTCCTCCCGCTGAGCTTTTCGCGGCCAGGCATTTACGACTTTTCCCCCGTTTACGAGCGCCGGGAAATCTCGAGGCCCGGAACACGTGGCTGATGGCACGCGGTTCCTGGGAACGTGTCCGTGAATGGTCGATCGTGTACCACGGATTGAACTCTGACCGCTGCGCTGTAGCGGCCGACAAACTGTGACAAAGCTTTGCGCGAGCCGTTCCCTGGACAAATTAATTAACCCTTTGAACTCTGTAGGCTCCAATATTGCAGCAGGAATAATATTAGATATTTTAATGAATCTTAAAGAAACTACCCCACAATTATTCAATTTTCCACTAAGGAGGAAAATAAAAGAT